GTATGATTCATCGGCAAATATTAGCAACAAAGACACTGCCACAAGAATTACGAGAAGTAATGAAAAGCTTCATAAATTGTGTCAACTTTGTAAAGGCAAGCAGCTTAAACACATGACTGTTTTCACAACTGTGCAACGAGTTGGATGCGCCAAACAATGCTCTGCTATTTCACACTGAAGTCAGATGATTGTCGAAAGGAAAAGTTTTAAAACGTGTTTTTGAGCTTCGTGATGAACTCAAAACATTTTTTATTCAGAAAGCAAGACCGCAGTTTGAAGTTCTTTTCAGCGATAACAGTGAACTGCAGAAAATAGCTTACTTGGTTGACATCTTTGCCATCTTGAATGAGTTAAATTTATCACTGCAAGGACCAAATGCAATGTGCCTTGATTTGTCTGAAAAGATCCAATCATTCCAAATGAAACTGCAGCTTTGGCAAAAAAAAATTGGATGAAAATAAAATTTACATGTTGCCTACCTTATCTGCTTTCTTTGAGGAACATGACATTGAACCAGACAACAGGATTACATTGATAAAATCTGTTAAAGAACACCTGCGCATGCTTGCAGATGAAATTTCATCGTACTTTCCAAATCTACCTGATACCCCATTTGCACTTGCCAGAAGCCCATTCACAGTCAACGTTGAAAATGTTCCTGAGACAGCATAAGAGGAGTTCATTGAACTTATTAACAGTGATGCAGAGAGAACTGATTTCTCCACAATGCCAGTTACAAAATTCTGGATCAAATGTTTGCAGTCATATCCTGTTCTGTCTGAGACTGTGTTGCGCCTTCTTCTTCCATTTCCAACAACATATCTTTGTGAAACAGGGTTTTCCAGCTTGTTGGTTATCAAGTCTAAATACAGAAATAGACTTGTTGTGGAAGATGATCTTCGGTGTGCTCTTGCAAAAACTGCCCTGAGAATTTCTGATCTGGTGAAAAATAAGCAACCTCAACCTTCACACTGATGTTGGCTTTTTACGCATACTGTTGAAAAATGTAGCAATGTAGTTTACTGTTGTTATATTAAGACTGTTACCCATGCTACACCATGCTTCAACACAAAATTTCATTGTTTTGTAATTAAAAATAAATATTTAACAATATATAATTACATATTGTTTTTGTGATTAATCACTATGCTTTAATTATGTTCAATGCAAATACATCCTGCATATCAGATATTTACATTGCAATTCATAACAGCAGCAAAATTACAGTTATGAAATAGAAATAATTTTATGGTTGGGGGTCACCACAACATGGTTCCACATTTAAAGGCAGGGTACACATGCATTAAAATACATGCAGCGGCGGCACAGCATTAAAGGTGGCCGGGGCTGTCTTTCTTGCCACGCCCACTTGGTGGCCATGTCCACTTAGTGGCCACACCCACTTGGTGGCCACACCCACTCAACCACACCCACTTGGCCACGCCCCCAGCACCCAGCAATGTATAAGTGGGTTTCAGGTAATTTATGGTTGGGGGTCACCACAACATGGGGAACTGTATTATGGGGTCACGGCATTAGAAAGGTTGAGAACCACTGGTTTAAAGTAACAGTTTCCCACCCCACGCCTCATTATCAGCTTGGAGACAGGTAGTCTGGCTTTCAGTAACAGCAACTGTTAAACAATACAGCAATGTAGGTCAGAAATTAAGCAAGTGTTTTAAAACAGGTGTGGCCAATACATTACATAATCCATGGAGACCAAAAGGTTGTGAAACCCTGCAACTAAATAATTATACATTATACATAGAAAAATAGCCAGCCAGGAAGCAGGCTATGCAAAAGCTATTTCTTCCTGACAGTTTTACTTGTAGATTTTTTTTAAAAAAATAAATGTCTACCATGAGAACTTCCAGCTGCAGCCAGAAATAGGGTAACACAGAGAAAAGTTTGTCACTAAAGTAAGTAGGGACCCAGAATTTCCCATCACATCATGTGTAAAAATTCCTATACAAAAATAAAAATATGTTTAGCATTCCTAAAACCTAATCAGACAAGCAAATTTTACTAAACTCATTTAAATTACTGATTGGGTATGCTTCATAGATGACCACATGTTTTTTTCTCTTATTTTCTCTTATTCCTGCTCTAGATAAGATTTATTTAGCTCTCCTCAGAGAAATGTGTCAACTCGATTTTAGATGCAATCAATCATTTAAAATCCTTTTAGTCTTCTCCTTCAAACATCCAGATAATAGTAAGACCAGCCATATAGCAAGAGTACATCTCTTTACAATGCAGAAATACATTTACATTGCAATTTGGATCTACATATGTGTAATTTCTTAATGAATGAGTTATCTGTCAATGTGACTCTGTGCCCTTGCATATGCATTAATTATTTCAGTTTTCAGAAGGTTCACTCCCTGGAATGAAGTGCACTGGGATCATACTATATCTATGAAAATGCTATTTTCTTTACCTTCATAAGCCATTTTTATAATGCAATGACATGTGCCATAGCTTCTTACAGAATATAAAATCCCCTCTCTTGCTTCTCCCCCAGGAGATTAACTGACCCCAAGCAGCCACATTTCTAATATGAAATAGGAGGACTCAGCTGGATCCTTAGCTGGAGCTCCCAAGATCCTAGCTACTAAGAAAAAAACCACAGACCTCATAAAGCAATTCTTTAAACCAAAGATCTCAAAATAGGACACTTCCTGCATCGTATTTTCTTTATGAAGCAGCTTCTTTCAAAGCCCAGCCTCACATTCACTAGTTTCTCAGTTGTCTTGAGCAATGACAGTGACTTAGCTTCAGACCATGAGGCTACAACTTATCATCAAGCCAACATTATGTTCATATGAATCCTTTGATTCTAAAATATTAAGAGTTTTAAAAATTAAAATGTTCAGTTGCATCCCAAGACTAACTATGAGGTTACAAACATTATACTATATTGTAACAAATGCTTTAGAAATGGTTAGACCAGTGCTTCTCAACGTTTGTGTGATGGCGACCCCCGTCACACAAACGTGCCGCGCATGCGTGGCGCCGCCCCCATGCGCGGCGGCGCCCCCCGAGGGGGAAAAATGGCGGATCGCCTTGTTTGGCGACCCCCGAGAAATGGTCGATTGACCCCAAATGGGGTCGCGACCAATAGGTTGAGAACCGCTGGGTTAGACCTTTGTTGCAGCAGTTGATGTGAAATACTATTAAAGACATCACATGCAAAATCTAATCTATACTAAGTCCTGTGAATGTGCCCTCTCTAAAATTCACACAACATTCTAGCATGTAAAATACTACTTGTAGTTTAAAATGATAACATTAAGAAGAAAACTAAAGAGTAAGAGATCTAGTGTGATGTAGTCCTCGCTGAGTTGAATTACAGGTAGGAGATCAAGTTTGAGTTCATCCTTAGTCAATGAAGTCCACTGGGTGACTTTGGACCAAAGGCTCCCTCTCAGTCAAATCTACTTCAGAGACTGTGGTTGTAGAGAAAAACAAGAGGAGGGAACACTAGGTGACCCAGATTGAGTTCCTGAGTGAAAGATGGGACAAAGATCTCCAATTAAATATTATTTAATAAACATGGAGTAAGGAAGTGCAGCAATTGCAGCCTCAAGAACTGTTTCCATTGTATTAGCTGGCCTTTTAAATATGTTGTCGGCATGGGAATTACTGTCTGTGCAGATCAAACAACCGTAGAAGCAAAACTAATCAGATGTAACTTTTTGACATCATTGCACATCATTCAGAAGTAAACTCCAACCAAATTGAGTTGAGTTGACTAAGTCTAAGAGTGCTACACATGTGGCAAAATGTCCACACCTGAAATCATAAGAATGACAAGAACCTGAGGAAAGCAGCAAAACGTGTAGGTTGCCATAAGCTACTTAAAATTTATTTGCAATTAATATGACTTATTCAAGAATGCATTATGTTATGAACTCCTTCACCAGTATTTGTAATCATCGCAGGTTCCTACAGAAAATCTGCAGATGTAAATCTATTCAACATTTGAAAAGGAGACCATATGTATCCCAAAGGAAGAATGACATAGTGTGTATATATGGAGAAAAAAATCAACTTGAATTGAACTTAAAATTCAGTCTACCAACATAGATGGCAAAATTTATCAAACTATTTGCATACATACATACTGTACATACAATACATACCAGTGTATTTGGGCACAAATAATCCAGACTTTACCTGACTGACCTGAAAGGGAACCTCGGAGCCATGGTAGACAGAAGTTACTATAAAAAGGGCAACTCATTAGGAAGGGAACCACCAATATAATAATACTCATTTGCAAATCTATGATGAAAGCCCATTTGTCTGCAATACTGCTCACTGCTCCTAAAGAATATTATACAACTAGAAAAGATGCAAAAATTTGTAATGTTTATGGGGAGTTGTAGAACAACTGCCCTATGAGGAAAGACACTAATAGATGGAGCTCTTATTTTGGAACAAGGGTGAATGAGAACACAAAATCACACATGGTTGAGAAAACATGGAGAGAGCTTTCTCCCTCTCTCACAATGTTAGTAATTGAGGTCATCTACAAATACATAGTGATTCAGAACCATCAGAAGTTAATATTTTACGAGACTGTGTATAGTTAAATGACAGCTAACGTGGGTGGCTTGAAAGGGTTCACAGAGGAATAGGCAATTAGTGGCTACAAATATATTCAGCAATTTATTACTCTAAACAGAATGCGTTAAATACTGCTTGTTGGGAAATAACACCCTAACCCTACTGTTTCTTAATCTGGGTTTATCAGCTTTCCAAATGCATCCAGTTGGCCCACATGTGACATGGAATGCTGGATTAAAAGGACTTTTAGCCTGATCTAGCAGGATTCTTTTTATGTCCTAATACTTCTTCACATTATAGGGATGAAACAAAGTGAACAAAATTATATCTCTATTTTCACAATGCTTAGATTAAAAAAATATGCTTAATTTTATTTCAGCCGCAGCAATAATTAAGAGGCCCATGTGTTATCCCAAACATCTAATTACCTGTGTCTCTGGCAGCCATGGCCTTTATGCTCTGGGAGACAATTACTTGGGCTGGAAGAGTCAAATGGCAAACGGGTTCGCAAAGCCACTGCAGAGATGCTCACAGAGAGAGAGGAGAAGTTGAACAAGGCATAGGTGATTTGGTGGGAGGCAATTTTTCCAGTCATGTTGATGACCAGGGGATTCTGCTGACATGACAGCTCTGATGTAGCTGAGAGAAATTAAAGGAAAATATATTTTTTAAAAAATCATGGTGAAATCTCTCTAAATTAAAAATAGGTAAGAGTTCCTAAAGTTTTTTTTGTGGTGCGAGAGAGGGTTTTATCACAGAGTGGGGGGAAAACTACAGTATAAAGCTTGGAGAGCTATAGTCTTCACAATTTTGCCATTGCAGCATTTGTTCTCTTTTCCCCAATGCAGAGCAATGGTACCTTAGAATAAGAGTGCAGGAGGGCAGCACAGGGAAGTCTGTTCCTGTCCCACCTCTTAATAGAAGGAAAGGGAAGAGAAATGATATGTTAATGTTGCCCAATTTGATACATTGGGGTTTCAACTGCTATCTGAGAATCAATACATTTGAAGAGGGCCAGATCTGGGAAAGCTACTTTAAAAGTGGCAGGGACAGCTTTGTGAGATGAAAGCAATACCCACTTTGGACTTGCACCACAATCAAGAGGAGTTATTGGGTGCTTCAAAAATAGTTGTGTTTCTGTTTCCAACCCTGCTACGAGAAAACCTCACTGCCATCTTTAACCTGAATTCATACTGAGAGCTAAATTGTTTTCAAACTATCTTTTAGACCACTTCTGAAAAACAGCATTCGTACTACTACCAATCTATCACTGCAATAAATATATGGGTTTTTTATGTATTTAGAATGATATTTGGCCAGCCGCATAAAGGCACACCAGACTCTATAGTGTTCTGCAAGAAATGGGACGCTGGACAGTAGCCAGTCACAGGATCCTTAAACAAAGATATTAACACAATTCTGAAAAGAAGGAAACTTAAAAATCAGTGCTATGAAAGAATGCAACATACTGACAAGATAGCAGAAAGTTAAGTGCTTCTTTGTAAGATCCTTTTGCTTTAAACTCTAACTTAGAATTAAAGTAGGCAGGCACATTCTGCTGAGCAGTGATATTTTAGTTTGCAGTTATTCAAATGAAATGATTTGGAACAACTTGTTTTAGAACAAATTCTACATTAGAGTTTTGTCTGACCTACAAGGTTTGTAAAGATTTTGGGGGGGCAGTTGGGGGGGGGAGTTATTCAAACCTAATATCTGTGATTTGACATGAGGCAGCCCATTAACATCAAATAAAGCTGCTACTTATATAACGCAGAACACTGAATTAAAGCAATGTTTTGTTTCCCTTGGTATTCTATACTGAACTATCAAGTCAAACTTTTTGCATCTCACATATAAGTATGCTGCACAATATACTTAATGGGGCAAAACCAAGATCAATCTACATTTTGTAAGTAGTGTTTACTCTACCAAATCACCTGCAATCTTATTAATGCATTGTTACTCACAAAAGCAAAGAAAGAAAGGAAAATGTTGTGTTAACTTCACAGAAATGCCTAGGTAAATTTTTAGTATATCACTTACAGACTCACCAAGGAAATGGTTGTGACCATTGATGTCACCCAAGTGTATCGTCATAGATGGTTTGAGATGGTCACCACTGGAAGTTCCCACAGATGCCAGGAAAACAAAAAGTGAAGTAGCCATTCTGGGTTGGCTGAAACACACCTGAAGAACACCAGTACAAAGACTGAGTATGTTATGACAAGAGCAAAAACAGCAGTTCTGTCAAAAAACTGACAGAAAAACAGAATTTCTTCTTCACCCTATCACTCATCCGTACTATCCTAGAATTTTCCTATTTAAATCTGAAATTGAGTTCATTTAGTTTGGTTATTCAAATCGTTCTTCAAAATTGTTGTTTGAACTCTCAGAGCTATGAACCGTGGTTAACTCCCTATTTCATTTTCAGGAAAACCCAGCTAATAAAGGACTCTATATAAGAACATGCATCATGGTTAATCTAAAGTTAACAATATTCTTCCTTAACCAAGCAAAACTAAAGTCTAATAAGTGAGGTAGGAAATGGTTTTCTATAGAGCCATTGCAGAAGATTTTCAATTAATAGCATTTGAAATTTAGGTTGATCCTTCAGTATTCAGTATCCATGTAGATAGTGCTAGGTTATCAAGGATCACTCTAAGGATTTCCAGACATTCAAACTGTGAAGCCTTCTGATTCCCACAATCCTGTTTGCTAAACAGTTTTCTTTCTTATTCTGATTCAGCTGGATAAGAGAATGAATTCCCACAACTGATACTTTCACTTTTGTGCTGCAATAATTTTATTTTAAACATGCGATTCACCATCACTGTTCTTCAGGACCATCTCTTGGTCATTTCTGGAGATGTATCACAGAAACCAGAGGGATGTAATTTATAAAATAAACCATTCACCTGTTCGAAAACTAGTAGTATATAATCAAGAATACCAACTTAACGAGCAATTCCATTGTAATAATGAAACTTATGAAATGGTAATTTTATCTTAGCCACTAATTAAAAGAGTCACTGACTTCTTATTGTGTATATCCTCATCCATACTACAGAAGTAGTATTATCCTCCAAATATTATTGCAGTGTAAATCCAAATAAATAAATAGATAATAAATAAATAAATACCCACAATCTAACACGTAGGTAGCTTACATTTGTGGAAATGGCAAAACTGGTCAGAGAGGAAACTATAAAGAAATTTTAAAATCCTGGAAAACTTTTATGAAGTGTTTGCTAAAAAAAGAAGAGAAATGATATTTTATGGATTTATTGATAGAAAAAAATGAGAAATAAGGGGCTGAAGGGATTTCTGGAATAGTTAAGAGGGAGAGGAGATGATGGGTCTGTTAAAATCTGTTGAAAAGAATCTCAGAAATCGTTTAGTTTCCTTTCTTTAGTTAATTCTTTTGTTTTTCTTTTTATTTATTGCACTTTATTTTTTTCTTTATTTCTCTTCCCTTCTCTATTTTCTTTAATAAATTTCTTTAATAGATTTCTTCTCTATTTTCTTTAATAGATTAAAAAGTATTTAATAAAAATGATTTTAAAATGTGTATATCCTGACATCTATTATTAAGTATTATTTATTTATTCTTAAATTAATTTTACATTCAACGTATTTTCTTTTCCTATTTTATACTATTCCTCCTCATTGTAAGGGAACGAGGTTGTTCCTGGGAGAACTGAGTAAAGAATATTTCCAGCAAAGTCCACTCAAGGCATGACAGTTATCCTAGCTGTGTAGCTAAAGCTATAGGAACCCAATATCAGGAGCAGCAATATGAGACGATGGAGGTGGATGATCACTTCAAAGGCAATGACCAAAGTATCATTTCAGCAGAAGGCAATACCATTCTTGTGTTTTACCAAACCATCCACATAGATGAACAATATAAAGAAGCTGATAATTATACGTGCCAGATGATGCACTCATCAAACTGATGGAATTCAACATGTTACTGAGGAAGAGCTGTGGATCTAATTGTGTCGATGGTGTGGCTAGATTAAAGCTTTTGAGATGCCTAATTGCTGATGCTATCATGCAGAAAAAGAAAATCTGAAGCTATAAGGCAGGGGTGTCAAACTGCCGGCCCATGGGCCGGTTGCATCATGCGGAGGCCACGCCCACCCTAGCTCTAGCAATGCAAAAAAGAGTCGTGATACATCATGTGATGCAGTGAGTTTGACACCCGTGCTATAAGGAATTACAGTTGAAAAATGGAATGTAAAAATCACGATGCAAAGAAAGCTCAACACAGTAAACAGTGAAGCAAAGCAACCACACATTGATATCTTAGGCACCAGCAAACTGAAATAGTCTGGAATTGGACATTTTCTGTCAGAAAATCTTACCACTTACTGCACAGGATTTGAATAACTCTGAAGCAACATTATTGCTTTCATAGGCAGGAAGACAGTATTTAAGTATAACAAAGTTAATGATCAAATGATATCAACTGGATTGCAGACATCTTTTTAATATGATAATTATACAAATTTATACTCCAACAACTGATGCAGAAGAAGCAGCTGATGAGTTGCATAGACAAGTTCAATGTCAAAATGGCAGAATATGTAAGAAACATGTACTGCTTGGGGCTGTAGCCTGAAATGCTAAAGCTAGAAATAGTAAGGAAGAAAACTTAATTCATTTGTATGAACTAGGAAGCAGAAATAAACCAGGAGAATGCCTTATCAGTTTCTGCCAAAGGATTTATTTGTTGCTAACACAGCCTTCAAACAAATAAAACAGTGCCTGCTTAAGTGGACGTCATTAGATGAAGTATAATTAAATCAAATTGATTTTATTTTTGGCATAGGGTAGAAGAACAGCTCAGCTTTACCAGCAAAGATGTGACTATGGACAGACCATAAAACAGATCACTAAAGTGTTTATGTACAAGTTCCAAGATAGGCTAAAGTGGAAGAAGCAAGCCAAACAGTTTTCATAATATGATTTTCAGCATATGCCCAACATTTTCAAAAACATCAGGAATGGCTTTGAAACTCTGAATTTCATCGATGGAGAACCAAAGGAACTGTGGAACTATGAAATCAAATAAGCCATTAAGCATGCGTGTGAAAAGAAACTGCCAAGACCAAGAAACAGAAGAGAGTAAACTGGATGTCAGAACAGGTAATTTAAATTGCCAAGAGGAGAAGAGAAGTCAAAACCAAGATCTCAGGAAGGGACCTAACAAATAATTTCAGATAACTGTTATAAGAGACAAAAAGCAGTTTTACCATGACATTTTTAAAGACATTAGTGATAGAAACAGAAAAGAAAGAAACAAGAAACTATTTCAAAAGATCTCCAAACTCAGAAGGAATTTCTAACCCCGAACTGGTATGTTAAAAGAACAGAGATAGCAGCTAATTCAAAGAAAGTTTTAAAAAATGAATGGAATATTGTATACTAAAATTTGATAAAACAGAGGTGTCAACTCTCAGGATACCTTATAAAATATTCCTTATTCATACGTATTAGTACTAGAAGATGAAGTTAGATCAGCACTCCATTTATTCCTGGGTCAGAAGGTTATAGGAATTGACAGAATATCTACAGAAATACAGCAAGCAACAGAAAAATTAGTAAGAGCTCTAAGCAAACTATTCCAAGCATATCTGGAGAATACAATGACCAACATATCAGAAGAGGTCATCTTATCTTCCAATATCAAAAAAGGCAAACTTAGTAGAATATGGAAACTATTGTACAATATCATTAATTTTGTGTGTAGGCAAAATTATGTTTAGGATCATCCAATGCACTTTCGAGCCTTATTGTCAGAATCTAATTATATTTCATCTTTAATTATCAAATATAAAAACTCCCAATTCTGCCATCTTTGGATTCTGCCATAAGAGGGAGAGAAGGGGGAGAACAAAGGGGCTTTACGGCCCTCACTTCCTTCAGTTCACTTCAAAGAGCTGAATGCTGAATGTGTGTTTATTGTAACCTCGAAGTGTTAGCATACCAAAGGAGAGTATTTGCCTTCATGTAGTTATCTGAAGTCTCCATCCAGACGGAAGAAAGAAGAAAGAGGGTGGAATTGTGATACTTGAAACTATCACTGGAAGGGGGGTTGATTGGGTGGGACTACTGGGGAACCCCTTAAAACCTTGAATGGAAGAGCTTGAACCCCAAGTCCTGTCTAGCATGCCTGCAACCATTTTCTCTTAATAAAGGATTCCTGTTGGAAGAATTATTCCAAGAGTTCTGTCTTCTTAAGATGCAAAGTGGGGTGGGTCCTTACATTAGACAGGACTTGCAAAATTAATCCACCTGGAAGGGAGACCCTTGCCGGGGGATTTTGCAAAAAATTTACCATGTCAGACAATGGAGAAAGAGAGGGGGAAAACTCCCTGGACAGAGAGCCGCTGACCCAGTTGGAACCTTGCCAGATGTTGGGATCCGAGAGGTCAGATTCCTCGGGAGAAGAAGTGGTGGAGACACAGGACCACAAGCCTCGCTGGTCGATGAACGTTGGAAAGAAAAGTGAGTGGAGAAAGGAATCAAGAAAGGTGACCCTGAGACGGGGGACCAAGCAACCAGAATGGAAGCAGGAGATGGAGAAATCCCTGCACGCAAGTGAAGAGGGAGGAAGCTGGGTACCGTACTCAGACTGGATCCTAGAGAAAGCTATTGACCTGATGAAGAGAACTCTCAGCTCCCTAGGAGAGGAGAATACTGAGCCCTACGGCCGCCCCAGTTCCTGGAGCCACAAAGGGAGAGACACCGAGGGGGATGTGGAACCTGCAACCCCAGGGACATCTACTGATCCAGGAGCCCCCACCCCCTACCGGACCACAGATGGCAATCTGGACGGAAGACACTACCACCCACAACGGAGGCACCGATCCATTCCAAGACGTCCACCGTTGGAGGTGAAATTCAAAGGGGAGCCAACACGCTTGGGGTTTTTCCTAACCCAAGTACTCAGCTACATGGAGGAATATGGGCAGGACATTCCCAGCGACAAAGCCCGCATCCGGATCATGCAATCTGCCCTGGATGGACCAGCTGTGGATTGGGTAGTGAACTTGCATGACTCCAATGCCCCAGAACTCAGTAACTTCAACCGTTTCATGTCTTCTTTGAGAAGACGATTTGAAGACCCCCTGGCTGATCGCAAAGCCCGTGAAAGAATAACAACGATGAGGCAAGGCAAA